AGATTCTTAGAAGCAAGCACAGGTGCCACAGGTGGTGGGCAGAGTGGGAGAAGAATGCCTGGGCTTCTCCAAGCATGGATGAGATGCCTTTGCACCCCGGAAGTGGGATGAAACGGACGCTGTCCCTGCTCTCCAGCCTGACCTCAGCTCATCCAGCCCCGCACCCCGGTGCTGGAGCAGGGCAGAGAGGTGGGGAACATCCCAGGTTTCCATGGCTAAGCGGGAATGGGCTTGGGTAACTTCCTTCTTTCTTCACGACTCTCTGAGCCCTAGAGACCAGGGGATGCTCAGATGCAATGCTGGTCAGCCCTCATGGATCCAAGAAAGGTTTTCAGGAGTGTTTGGGGACCTGGAAGCTGTGGCATTGGACCTGCAGGCCTTGGATTACCAGAAGGTGTGATCCAACTGCACAGGGTCCACTTGGCTCCCAAACTGTTCCCATGTGCCCCCATCAGCCTCAGCAGGCCTGCTCCACCAAGCTGGCTTTATGCAATTCCTGACACCCTCTCAAACTGGTTGTTTTGTTTAAAGGGATGGGGAGGAGGGGTGTGATAATTCTTAAATTTTGTCGATTGATTTCCTGTGATTGATTTTCTATTGAGATGAGGGAGGTTAACTCGCCCCTGAGCCTCTCAGCTGCCCTGTGTATTTGGCAAGTGTTATTCTGGTTCCCAGTTATGGAAACTGAGCTCTAGGCAGTTACGGCAGAAGTGGAACAACCCTGGGAGTGACCAGTGCTGAAGAACCCTTTGTAATGCAAGTCCAGAACTCTCTGGAGGTGCAGAAAGTGTGAGGCATCAGCCAGAAAAGGGGTGTACCAGTCAGAGATGGAGAAGTTGTGGGCTATAGAAATAGCACAGTAGATAGGGCACCTGCCTTGCACACGGCCAACTGTGGGTTTGATCCCTCGCATCCCATAGTGTCCCCCAAGCACCGCCAGGAGTAGTTCCTGAGCCAGGAGTAACCCCTAAACATTGCCAGATGTGACCTCAAAACCAAAAAGCATCCCCCCCAAAAAATGAAATTGCAAGAAACACTCAATGATTCTTCCCCACGACAATGCCTTAGATACAGACTCTTATGTCCTCTTGCCACCTCCCTCATCTTAAACTTTAAATCCAATGAAACTCAGTTTGGTGTGTGTGTGTGTATATATATATATATATATATATATATATATATATATGTGTGTGTGTGTGTGTGATATATTTGGTAATATATGTTATATAAGTTTGGTATATATGTAGATGAAATAGAGGCCTTTTGGGTCACCCCCAGTGATGCTCAGGGGGTTACTCTGCACTGAGGAATTACTCCTGACTGTGCTCGAGGGATCATATGGGATGCCGGGGATCAAAACTGGGTTAGCAGCATGCAAGACTCATGCTCTACCCACTGTACTATCGCTAGGGCCCCATGAGCTGTATGGATAGTACAGAGAGTAGGGCCAATCCAGGTTTGATCCCTGTATAGTCCCCCAAAGATTGCCAGGAGTAAGCCTTGAGCATAACCAGGTGTAGCTCCCCAAACAAAAACTAGAATAAACTATTAAGAGCTTCTATTACTCAGAGACAGAGGAACAGGCCCAGCCCCACCTCCATTGTTCAAGCAGAACAGAAACTGGGTCTCTGAACAAACTCTTCCAGGGACCCCAAATCTCTTGTTAGCCCCACAAGCTGAGCAGTCCTGTGCCTCTGCTGTACCACTGTCCTGTCCTAACACAGCGCGGGGGTGCCCTCTGCTTCTCCTCTGCTGATCCCCAGGCATGCTGGAGCATCAGGAGCAGTTGCATTCCTTATGTACATGAATAGGTAGGTGGGTCATGGTCTAAAGGAGAATAGGTGGAAAGGGACAAACATGATCTGCAGGAAAAGACCACAAAGAGGCTAGAAAGATAGTACAATGGGTAGGGTTTCAATCCCCAACACCCCATTGGGTTCCCTGAACACTGCCAGGTGTGGCCCCCAAACAAAACAAATGTTTTATAATGCGGAGCGATAGCATAGTGGGTAGGGCGTTTGCCTTACATGCGGTCGACCCGGGTTCAATTCCTCCGCCCCTCTCCAAGAGCCCGGAAAGCTATTGAGAGTATTCCGCCCGCAGGGCAGAGCCTGGCAAGCTACCTGTGGTGTATTCGATATGCCAAAAACAGTAACAAACAAGTCTCACAATGGAGATGTTACTGGTACCCACTTGAGCAAATCGATAAACGACGGGACGGGAGGACAGTGCTACAGTATACCAAACATGTGTTGGTAGGCCATATGCGTTATTGTTAAAGATTCTGGTTAAGACTGATCTATTAGTGGTTCAGAGGTTTTTGAAGGGGGGAGGGGGTTGTCAGAGTTTATAAGGACATCTTGCTTGTTTGTATGGGGCCACACTCACCAATGCTCAGTAGTTCCTCCTGGCTCTGCACTCATGAATTACTTCTGATGGTGCTCAATGGATCATACAGGATGCCAGGGATCAAACCCTGGTTGGCCAGGGTCCAGGCAAATGTCCTCCCCTCTGTATTATTGCTCCAGCCCCAGGACATCTGAACTTCACATTTGCCCCAAGTCCTGAAATCTTTATGCTTTTCAAGGTCAATTGTATTTCTAACTCTATACTCAGAAAACTCATAAGATAAAAATGTCTTTACAGTGCTGTTCTGTATTTATCAATATTTGTAACTTAATATAATCTATCAGGAAATCCATGTACATGTAGACTCCAGAAATTCAAATGTGTTGCTCAAGGGACAACTATAGAATTAAAATAAAATGTGGTCTATGGGGGAAAGAAAAGAAAAGACAATGTAGACACAAGGCACAAAAGCATTGATTTTAAAAGATCTAGGCACACTGATACTCATGATGGCCCTTAGAACAAGAGCTACATTATGGAAACCATGCAGTTGCCCAACCATAATAAAACTGGTATGTCTAGACAATGGCACATTTCTCAGACACCTCGGGAATAATGAAATTATGGATTTATCTGCAATGTAGATGGAACTGGAGGATATTAAGTGAAGTGAGTCAGAAAGGTGAGGTTGGGGACTGGAGAGAGTACAGTGGGCAACCAGGTACAAACCCCAGCACCACATATGCCAGGAGGGATTGCTGGGTGCAGAGCCAGGAATGAGCACTGAGCACCACCAGATGTAGCTCCAAAACAAAAAGATGAGCTCAAACCCCAGATGTTCCTATTAATTTGTATTATACCGAATAATATGCCGGAGCCAGAATAGTACAGCAGGTAAGGCATTTGTCTTGCACAAAGTTGACCGGCTGGATCCCCAGCACCCCACACACTCCGCAAGAGAAATTTCTGAGTGCAGAGCCAGGAGTCTGAGCACCGCCTCGTGTAGCCCAATGCCCCCATCCCCACAAAGAAAAGAATAACACGTATAAGAAATGGCTAGTAGCAAAAGTGGACAAAACCCTGGTTCTAGATTACAAAAACAAAAATTAGAATAAAAGGGAGAGATTGGAGAGCGTGAGGGGTGCAAAAAGAGAGGCCTGGAAGGCAAAGTATACGTATACCTCTAGATCCAACACTGCCGTACACATAGGACAAATTACACTTAAACTTAAAAAGTAAGCTTTTCCTGAAACAAAAAAAAAGATTAGTAATCAATTTCTGTATCTATCATGTCTTTTTTTTTTTTTTGGCATCACACCTGGCAATGCTCAGGGATTACTCCTGGCTCTGCACTCAGGAATTACTCCTGGCGGTTCTCGGGGGACCATATGGGTACTGACAATCAAACCCGGGTTGGCCAAGTGCAAGGCAAATGCCCTACCCGCTGTGCTATCACTCCAGCCCCCTCCATCATGTCTTTAGACATCAGTTACCAACTTCTGTATTACTTCTTTTGCCACCAACCAATACTGTTACTTATAACACATTTTGTAAAATTTAGATAAGTCTGAGAATTAAAGGCAGCTAGCATTTTATTACCTCTTCTGAATGCAATGTTTAAATTTCAAAACATGACAAAGTTAAAGTTTAACATTTGTATATTATAATTTGACTTATATAAATGCATTGGTTATATTTTGAATATGTAATTGTGAAATCCACCATGGAGAACAATAAAACATTGAGACTTTTTTTTTAAAGTATCCATTGTGGCAGGAGAGACAGCATATCCGGTAGTGTACTGGACTCGATTCCGGTACCGCGTAGTGCCCAGAACCCTGGTAGGAGTGATTAAGAGCGCAGAGCCCTGCGCACCCCTGGGTGTGGCCATCCCCGCCCCCCGCAGTGTAACTGGCACGGAGTCAGGATAAAGGGGGATGGGCGGCAGAGGGATGGGACACTGGACGGTGGGATTGTCGGTGGGAACACTGCCTACAAAACGCTGCAAATACTGATGTAAATCGGGGTCTCTAAGCAAAAAAAAAAAAAAAGTCTGTGTAGAGATGTGTTTTAGAGGTCCCCAGACTATCCAGAAGTAAGCCCTAATGTTGTCCAGAAAACCAAAAACAAACAAACAAAAAAAAATGTGATGCTTACGTGAATCTTGGTTTAGCGGGTAGTAAAACCTACCGTTACGCAAAGGTGGAGAATCGGTTAGAGTAACATTAGCGCCGCGCCCCCTTTCTGATGGCCACGCCCCCGAGCCTGGCGAGGGCCGGCCCAGGTCTCCGTTTCACCGAGGCCTGTGACTAGAGAGGCTACGACACCCGAGCCCACCGGAGTCCCTTAGCTTCCCGCCCCCAATCACATCCGTTTCCGGATGCCGGGTCTCGAGCGGCCGCCCGCTCTGGGGGGGGGTTAGCGTCTCGGCTCTCTAGTCTTCTTTTCTATGGGAAGATAGTACCACTATAGGGTGGTACCATCGAGATGCAGTCCTCCAGCAGCCCAGCACGCCCGGTTCGGAGTGAGCGCCGTAGAACGCCTACGTCGTTTTCCGTCGCCGGAAGCTGCTCGGAGAACGCCGGCTCCTGAGGCGGCGCGCCAAATCTGAGGACGAAGTGCGTCGGGAGACGGTTAGTCGGCCAGGGGAAGTGGGAGCCGACGGGTGATATCCCCGCCTGCCTCCTGTCCCTCAGCCGTCGGGCCCTTGGGCCCCCCTTTGCGAGCTTGACTGGGAAAAAGTTGTGGCGGTTTTGGTGTCACGAGTGTCGCTTGGCTCGCCGCGGCGTCCTAAAAATGGCCACGACCCCGAGCCCCGTGAAGACCCTGCAGGAGGAGGCGGTGTGCGCCATCTGCCTCGACTACTTCACCGACCCCGTGTCCGTCGACTGCGGCCACAACTTCTGCCGCGCGTGCGTGAACCGGCTGTGGGATCAGGAACAAGTGGAGCCGCGGGAGGACGACTGGGACTTGGAGGACTGGGACTTGGAGGATAGGGAGGAGCATTGGGAGTACGAGCAGGTGAACTGGGAGTACGAGGACGAGGCAGCCGGGGGCGGCTGGCACCGTCACACCCGCGCCGGCCGCCGGTCCGGTGGGGCCGGGGCCTGGCACAGCGGCTGGCACCCGCGCGACGGCCAGGACGACGGCCAGGACTATTACTTCGGAGGCTCCGAAAACGACCTGCGCTTCCGCATCTTCTCGGAGGAGGAGGTCATATACAACCTGCGGGAGCTCGACGGCCACTCGGACCCCCGGCGCCGCCGCTTCACCTGCCCTCAGTGCCGCCGGAAATTCCCGCGGCCCAGCCTCCGCCCCAACCTGCAGCTGGCCAACATGGTGCAGGTCATCCGCCAGATGCACCCGAGCCCCGGCGGCCGCGTCTGCCCCAAGCACCAGGAGGCCCTGAAGCTCTTCTGCGAGGTGGACAAGGAGGCCATCTGCGTGGTGTGCCGGGAGTCCCAGGCGCACAAGCAGCACAGCGTCGTGCCGTTGGAGGAGGCGGGGCAGGAGGCCAAGGTGAGCGGGGCCGGGGGTGGACAGCTGGGAAAGGGCTCCCTCCCCTTCCCTACCGCGGGTTCTTGCTAGTGGAATGTCTTGATGGGCTCAGGGGGTGCCCGGCGGACAGAGGACACGCTGGTCAGTCCTCCCTCAGAAGCTGCCAAGCACATGAGTCACTAGGAGCTAAAACGTTGCTCTTGGGCCTTTTCACACTAGCATTGTAATGTGTATGGGTGACAGATTCCCTCAAGTCTAGACCGAAGCTCTTGGATCCTGAAGCGGAATGAAAAGCTGTCATGCTCGGAAATAGGCATTTGGGACTTAGGTTAGTCAAAACTGTGGAGTGGCATTAGACTGAACTCAGGTCTATGAAGTTGGCCACACACACACACACACACACACACTCAGCATCCCCTCAAGCCTGAAGTGTATGGAACAAGTCTTACTTGTTCCATAGGTCGTGTCCGTCCTCCAGTTGCCCCCCATACCCAGCAGTGTTTCTAGGGAGCCCTGTGGAGATCAAACCCTGAGGCTCCCACATGTAAAATGCATGCTCTAGGGCCGGAGCTGGTGGGGTGTTTGCCTTGCCCGGGACTGAACTCCATGTGGTTCCCTGACCCCTGCTAGGCCGGATCTCTCAGTGTAGAGCCCCAAGTAAGTCCTGAGCATCACTGGGTGTGGCCCCCACCTCCCCTCAAATCAAAATCTAGCTCTTTAAGCCATCTCTCAAGGCTTTTAAGATGAGAGAGCTCAGTTATGTGAAAGTATTTTTGAAATGATAAAGCACTAAACAGATGTTAGCTTTTAAAAGAAAAAAAATTTTTTATTCCTGATTCCCACCATTTGACTTTTTTTTTGGGGGGGGTCACACCCAGTAATGCTCAAGGGACCATCTGGGGTGCCTGGGATCGAACCCTAGGATGAACATGCAAGGCAGGCACCCTACCCTCTGAAATACCTCAGCAGCCCCAGATGTCTGCTCTTATTTTTTTCACTCTAAAAAGTTTGTTTTGGGGCCACATGCTGTGGTGCTCAGGAATTGCTCCAGGCAGGCCCAGAACCATTTGTGGTGCTAGGGATTGAACCTTGGGTGGCCACGAGTAAGGCAAACACCCTATCCCAGATATTCTTAGTCCCTGATTTTTCTCTTAATTTGTTTCTCCTTTATTTTATTTTTGTTTTGGCTTTTTGGGTCACTCCCAGGGATTCCTCTTGGCTGTGCACTCAGGAATTAATACTGGCGGTGCTTGGGGGACCATATTGGATGCCAGGGATCGAACCTGGATCAGGTGCATTCAAGGCAAATGTCCTACTCTGGCTCCTTCTGTTTCTCCTTTACTTTGATTTGCTTCGTACTTTGTAGTCCTGATCAGAGCATTAGAGATTTGTTGCAGTGTTCTCTAATGAATATTGTTAGCATACTGTTTTCCTTACCAAAAGCCTAGATGAATGAATGCTCTGAATGCCTAGGGTAGGAGAGGCCCATGAAAGTATTAAGCTAGATACTTAATAGCTGCTACCCACATTTCAGTTGTGCTTTACATTTTTATAAAGTATAGCACAGTGGGTAGGGCATTTGCCTTGCATGCAGCCAACATGGCCAACCTAAGTTTGATTCCTCTGCCCCTCTCGGAGAGCCCGGCAAGCTACTGAGTATTTCACCCCCACGGCAAAGCCTGGCAGGCTACCCGTGATGTATTCAGTATGCCAAGCACAGTAACAAGAAGTCTCAAAATGGAGATGTTACTGGGCCCGCTCGAGCAAATCGATGAACAACGGGAGGACAGTGACAGTGATAGTTTCTCCTGTTCTGCTATCCCAGTGGTTTTCAAATTGGGCTTTAACCAGTTAGTGGATTTTAAATGGTTTATACCAAGCATTGTTTTAAAATAGTCTGGAAATGGGCCTGAAGTGATAGTGCAGTAGGCAGAGTTTGCTTTGCATGTGGTCTACATGAGTTTGATCCCTGGCACCCCATATGGTCCTCCAAGCCCACCAGGAGTAAGCCTTGAGTACCATGGGTGTGGCCCAGGGCCGCCTCTCCACAGGGGAGAAAAAAGTACAGAGTACAGAATACTGTTCTGCATCATGGTATTATCATCACTCCCCATTTTATAGTAGTTTTTGGTAAGCTATTAAGGACACAAACCTTAACCACAAATTTCTATTTCCATCTTACTAACCTGCAAATAGGTAGCTCTGTACTTTCCTCTAGGGTAATGATTTAAACTATTTCCTAAACTTTTAATAGATTAAAAATCTATTTCCTAGATTTTTAATATATTGAAGAAGAAAGGAGGTAACCTTTCAAATGTTAAAATTTTCTGGAAAAACTTTTGAGACAGAAATTTTGATTGAAAACCAGAAAGAAATGGGAGGGCTGTCTTCTGCTCAGGAGATTTTGGTAACACTTTTGATAACACTCAAAAGTATAAAGAGCAAAACTAAATTAAATGAATTGGGGATAATTTCTTTACAAAACAGGGACACCTTAAAACCTTAAAATATTTTCAAATATAGATCAGCACCAAGGTAGAGGAAATTACCAAACGTAAGTATTACACTAAAGAGATACAAAATTTATTTTATGTAATGTGTAAAATGATCATTGTTCACACATTCTTGATTCATTTTTATTTTTTTGGGAGGGGTTGTTTTTTTGCCTTTTGGGTCACATGCAGCGATGCTCAGGGGTCACTCCTGGCTCTGCACTCAGGAATTACTCCTGGCGGTGCTTGGGGGACCATATGGGATGCCGGGGATCGAACCCAGGTAGGCCGCGTGTAAGGCAAACGCCCTACCCACTGTGCTATCGCTCCAACCCCAATTCATTTTTATTTATTCCCATCAGTAAATACATTATAACAGCATGGTTTACAACCTCAGTGAACAAAATTTGTAATAGTAATTAAAAGAAACCGTTTTAGAATAATTTAATGCTATAGGTTAACTACCACAGTTCTTCATAAGTGGATTTTCTCATCAGCTGAACACAAGATTTTTTAGTTTTCAGATTTTAAGTAGGGAGTTTTTACTTACAGACTGAAGGCATAGGTATGCTTTTCATAAATGAAAATGGTATCTACGCATTATATTGCTCTTGCAGAATAAGAGGAAAGTTTGAGTTTATAAAATCACTTCATTTTTCAAATGTTAACAAGGGGGAAAATAGCTTAATTTTCAACTCCTTGGTAAAAATACAAAGATGAAGCAAAAAACATGAAACTCTATAACTAAATCAGTTCGATGACAGCTTTTGTAGCCACAGATGTATTGTGGGTATGGAGCCCTTTGTATTGCTGTATTGCTATCCCATATCCAGGACAATTGGTTTTAAGTAAATGTTCTTTTAAAATTACTTTCTTATAAGTAAAGCCTTTTTAGCCCTAACTCTTACTTTTTTATATTTTTCATTTTGTTCATTTTATGAGTTAGAGTTCGCCTTGACTTCAAGCTAGAATCAGAGGATTATGAAAGTAAGATCATTTAGATTTGACCAAAGACATCATTAAATGGTGTCAGGTTGTAGGTGGCAGGTGGGTGCACAAAAAGAAAATGAACAAAAATTTCACTTACTGGGCCTCCGGGTATAACTGGATGCTTGTATAATGCCCCACCACCCAGATGCCATCAATAAAACCATTCATCGTTCTGCAAGAGGGACCAGAGGCTTCCAACCATCAATACTCCTTCTTCTTGTTTCCTCCCATGAGGTAGCTAAACATGACAGTCACTTATTTTGAGGCCCTTGTCCAGTATCTATGCCATTATGCAGAAGATAGGGCTTGGCTTCTTCAGTATCTGGAATCACTGGGCAGTTGGGCAGTGACACCTTGACAAACAGTTTAACATATGTCAATCCAAACAGTGGAGTTTTCTGCCAAAGCACAATTCTGCAGCTTTTAAGATGAGACAGAATGTTAACAGGAATCTTCAAAGGCCATAAAGACTTCATTAAACAACCTTTTTACTTGTAAAGGAGAAAGAAAAGGAGAAACGGGTAAAACCTCGCATTCTGAGTGCTGCCACCACCTTGAGAGGAAACTGAGGAATTCCAGACTGTCTTCATACACTCTGCTTAATGCTGAACTGATTGATGACTGAGCATATCAAACCTCAGCATTCACAACAAACATCAGCTCACCTTTATTTCCTGTCAGTTGAGATGAACCTACTGATTCCCCAAAAAAAGTGCTTTAAAAACTGGACGTGCGTTTTCATGAGCCTACACTTGACCACTTAAGACAGTTTTTTGGAAACTTATCAGATGCACTGATTAAGAGCTGGAAAATTAAAGGAATAAGTGTTGGTGGCTGTATCCTAAATAACATGTTTTAAGTCTAGATTTTGGGGGCAGAAAACTGGAGTTCAAGATGCAGTACAATATCAGTCATGGAGCATCAGTTCCACTGGATCTATTGGAAACCGTCAGCTTGGCATTGTAGACCATTGAGAAAACCACTATACTGAATCCCAGTTTCTGTTGATGTTTTGGAAGATCTTCATGTTTTTTCTTATGTACTGAAGTTCCTTGGTTGTAACTATGTTCATTTGAATGTATGAATTTGGTACACCAGCCAAAGGCATGTGTAATTTAAAATTCCCAAAATGGCAATTCCCAGCACAGTGTAATGTACTTATACTTAAAATACATCCACCCCAAAATGGGGAATACCAATTATTGGTCATTATGAAATACCATAAGTGAAAGTTGCCAAAGAGTCTAGCCACAGATAACCAATTTATGCTCAAAAATGCCTTAACTTTCTCAATTAGTCATTTGAAGACTAGACTCACGAGTTATTTTAAGGAGGTTGGAGGAATATCTAGGACTCTTCAGGGTTCATGTGCTCTTGAACTTGTTCTTAAAACTAGTAAGTTTTGGGAATGTTTCACATTGCTGTTTATTCCTCACTGGAAGAGATGTGTGACTCATTCCAAGTTTGCTTTGATTAGAGCATTCAGAAATTTAGACACGAAATGTCTAAGTAGATGGCAAGGCTTTAGTCTATTATTCTAGTTTCTCCTTATATCTTGAAAAGCTGTATTTATGTATTTATTGTTATTTTTTGGCCTATCTGGCTGTGGGGAGAAAATAGTGCTGCAAAGAGTGTTATGTTTTGTTCTATCTTTTTGTCTTCCATGAAGAAAAGTTAAGAATCATGACGTGGTTATCACGTCATCTGAATAAATGTTTTTCTTCCAAGTTACCATTGCTTTGGTCACTTAAGTGGCAATATTTTTGGAATATATGAAAAGTAGATGTGTGAGTTAGAGAAAAGTTAGAGGCCAGTTGGCATCTCCATAGTCACTGGAGAATCCCCTTGCTAGTTAGTGATTGCTTTATTAGATGGTTTAAATTTCCCCTGTGGGTACATCAAACTTCATCTTTACAGATACATTACACATAAGCACTCAAACTTTTTGTTTTTGGATCTCACCTGAGTTACTCCTGATTCTGCACTCAAGAATTACTTCTGGAGGCTGAAGTAGTAGCACAGTGGGTAGGGCCGGCCGACCCGGGTTCAATTCCCAGCATCCCATATGGTCCCCCAAGCACCGCCAGGAGTAATTCCTGAGTACACAAGCCAGGCGTAACCCCTGTGCATTCCCGGGTGTGACCCAAAAAGGAAAAAAAAACAAAACAAAAAAAGAATTACTACTGATGGTGCTTGGGGGATCATATGGGATGCTAACCTGGGTTCAGCAGTATACAAGGGAAGCACCTCAGCCACTATAGTATCTCTCTAGCCCAAAAGTCCTTAATTCTAATTGCACTGTGACCCTAGTATGATTAACTGTTGAATTCAGTTATGCCTGCCCTTGTCATGACTGCTACTGTTACACTGCCAATGTTTTTTGCTTCACAATTCATCAGTTATTGGATAACTATTGTCTTGCTGAACCTGGGATTCATAATTAGTCTCTGAGGGAGTTTCAGGGGTTATTCCCAATGGTGCTTGGGGATCAGGTGGTACCAGGGATCGAATGCAGACAGTGCAAAGCATACACACTAGCCCTGTGCTCTCCCCAGCCCTTCATAATTAGTCTTTGCATGAACTGAGTCACGTTTCTGCTTTCGCAACAGTGACCTCTTATATTGATTGTTGGGACGGGGGTATGTGTCTCAAGTGGTAAACAGGATACCTTACATGTAGGTTCAGTCATTGGCACTGCCTGGAGTGACACCATTGGGGACATCCCTACCCAACAAAATTCATTGTTGTGAGGGAATGTCCTGTGTGTTGGATGATACTTAGCCACATCCCTGGACTTAGCCACTTGATTTGAACTTAGCACCCCTCCACCAATTGTGATCACAAATGTCTCTAAACCTTACTGTCTTGACAGGAGAGGTTGGTGATAGAAAATTTGCCACCCAATTTCTTTACATTTATGGAAAGTAGTTACTAGTCTCAGCCTCTCGTGGGCCCTAGATCTAAGAATGTGGCATAGGAGTTCAAAAGTGTTCAGTGGAAAAACAGCTCCTAGCTGTAGCTTTTTCCTTTTTTGGGTCACACCGGTGATGCTCGGGTCACTCCTGGCTCTGCACTCAGGAATACTCCTGGCAGTTCTTGGGGGGACTATATGGGATGCCTGGGATTAAACCCAGGTTGGCTAGGTGCAAGGCAAATGCCCTACCTGCTGTAGTATCGGACCGGCCCCGTCTGTAGCAGAATTTCTTAAATTCTGCAGGGAGTGGAAACTCCCAATATATAGCTTGTACACGGCAGAATCTGGACCAGCAAGCTTCCCCACCCGTTTTGGGGCCACCCCTGGCAATACACCCGGAGCTACTTGGGGTTCAGTGGTGAGTTGGTTCTGACTATTCTGGGGGACCATGTGGAACCAGGGCTTGAACCTGGGCCTTCTGCACACACTGCCTGTGCCCCAGTCTATAACCTCTTTGCCTCCAGCTAACTATAATTAGGTGCCTGGGAAACAACTGTGACAGTCAAAGTTGTGTAAGAAATCAATATATAAGGCCAGAGAGGTAAATACAGTGGGTACGGCCCTTGTCTTGCGCATGGCCATCCCAGGTTCCATCCTTGGTATCCCAAAGCCCCACCAGGAGTGATCCCTGAGCGTGGCCAGGTGTGGCCCAATCCCCATTCCACAAACCCCCTAAGATCTAGCAACAATAAAAGGAAATCACTTGGGGCGATTTCAGGTTACACACACAATACGTGTATACTTACATATAGGAGTCCATGTACCCTGAGTTCTATCCCCAGCACTGCAGAACTTCCCATTCCCAGGTCCCTGCAATACTGGGTCTGCCCAGGTTGGTTCCCCCAGAGCACCTCTAGCTGCCTGCACTATGCTGAAATGATACCTGGGCCCCAGAAACTGCCTTGTGTAGCGCCTATTTAAAGTAAAGGAAACCACTTGAGCTATTTTTGAGTTCTGTAAAAAATAGTTTTAATTTTATATTTGATAGGATCAGAATGGAAGTGGCCATGTACTGATACACAGAAAATCAGCTCTAAAAATCACTTCCTTAAAACCAAAGTCTGAGGGCCTGGAGAGAGTTTAGTTCAGCTGGTAGCACTTCCACCCCAACCCTGCCTCCATAGGATGGGTATTGCTTCTTACAAAAACCCTTTATAGGGTTTATTGGGAAGTGGGGGGGTACACCTGGCAGTGCTCAGGTGGCTCGGGGGACCCTATGGGTGTAGATAGAATCACACCCAGGTCAGCGTGCAAAGGCAAGTGCCCTCGCTGTTCTATCCTCTGGCCCCTCACCAAGAACCTTCTCATCAAGTAAAATGGTGAGCCTGGGAAAGAGAGAGAGAGATGCCTAAAGCACTTTTAGAGATCTCATTTTGCCAGAATGGAACAAGGGACAGCTTTAGGGAAGCAGGCTGGAGGACCCTCAGAAAAGTGACATCCGGGGGCTGGAACAATAGCACAACGGGTAGGGAGTTTGCCTTGCATGCGGCCCACGTGGGTTCGATTCCCAGCATCCCATATGGTCCCCCAAGCACCGCCAGGAGTAATTCCTGAGTGCAAAGCCAGGAGTAACCCCTGAGCATTACCGGGTGTGACACCCCCCCCAAAAAAGAGAAAAGTGACATCCTTTCCAGCAAGAGAGGGAATTCCCCTCACACACCCTCCCTCCACAAGGCCCTCCTTGACAAGGCTCAAGAAACAGTCAAAACAATTGTCTGAGGATGGTTTTTGGGGCCTCAGGAGGAGGAAGATGGACCAGGAGCTCAGAGTGCCCAGGCTGATGATGGGGAGCCCACCAAAACAAAGGCTGGGACCTTCTCTCACTCCTGGAAGGGCTAAGGCACTGGCGGGTTTTGCCTCTGCCCCTCTTCCCGGCCTGCCGGGCTCCCTCCCGCTCCACTGCGGAACCTCGGCCCCTCCCTCACCCCTCCAGCACTCCGGCCTGTGGATGAATTATTTTGCCCCATCTCTTCCCTCTAAAGCATTACCCCCCACCCCTATACACCTTCATTACTGTGGGGTAAATTATTACCCGATACAGTCTGGGCGCTCTACACTTGTCTGCTCTACTCGTCTCCTCAACCCTTCTCGCCGAACCATCCAGAACAAACGCCGACCTGCTCAGCCAGGAGGTGCCTGCTCACGGCCGACCCGGCTCAGGCCCAGTTCATTCGGGGTTTAATCCCCTTACGGTCCCGAGCCTCGCAGGAGTGATCCCTTAGCAGGGCCGGGTGTGGTCCCAAACATGAAGAAGGGAAAAAAAAAACGTAAAAATAGATGGGTTTGTGGTGGGGGGATTTAAAAAAAAAATAAAAGATGGGTTTTTGTGGACCGCTGTGGCAGGGCGAGCACGCGGCCTGCAGCGGCTCTGCCAGGCACCGTTCCGGGCACCCCTTCCGTCTCCCCATTTTCCCGTCGGTCCACGTAGGAAACTAAGGGAAAAGCACAGGGCGTAGGCGAGGAGGAAATCATCGTGCAAACCCTTTGAACAGACAAGAGCGGGGCACTATTATCTTCATCTGCGCCCGCGCTGGTTCTTGACCCCACAGTGCGCAGGCGCGGCTCTGCCCCGCAGCTCGGTCAACACTCCGTGCGACCCCTCCCCGCAGTCCGGTCAACGCCGCGTGCCACCCCTTCCCCTGCTCCCTGCAGCCCGGCCTGAGCCTCCCGACTCCGACGCCGCGGCCACACCATGTAACCTCCCGCGGGAAAGGCCGGTCTTGTGCGCAAAAAATAAATAGGGTTTGAGATCTGACCTCAGCTCAGTTTTATTTAAAAAATTTAATGATCGCATTTCCCCGCCGGCCGCGACCACTCACAGTTGTGACCTCCCAGCGCAGGCCCGCGATCCACGTCACCCCCGGGTACCGGCTAGAAGGGGCGGAACCCGCGACGGTTCACGTCAGGAGCGTCCTTAGGGGACTCGGGGATGCCGGCCACTTCCCGTCTTCCGCACCAATCAGCGTCCAAGTTGTTTTTTTTTTTAACTCCCGTTAGTTTCCGTACGTCTCTGCATTAGTTTCCGTACGTCTGTGCGTGCTGCTGAATTTTGCCGCAAGACCCGCAACAGGGGGCGCCATCTTGGAGCGGAAGTGAGTTCCGGGAGCCGCCATCTTGCTCGAGCAGGCGGCTATTTCCGGTTCCGGCGCGGGGCCTTTCGCTCTTTTCCTCCGCGGGGCCGTAGCGGGAGCGGCGGCTGGCTTGTTCGTCTAGGACGATCTAGTGCCATCCTCGTCGCTCCGGCGACCCCCATACCCGGCGTCACCATGACTGAACAGATGACCCTTCGCGGCACCCTCAAGGGCCATAATGGCTGGGTAACTCAGATCGCTACCACCCCGCAGTTTCCCGACATGATTCTGTCAGCTTCGCGAGGTATGGGCCGTGGGTGGAGGCGCGGAGGGTTCGGCCGCAGGTGTGTGCTGACGCACGAGCCGGGAGGGTGAAGCTCGTCCGGGCCGAGATCGGAGCTGCGGCGGAGAGCCGGGCTGACAGGCCCGCGCCCTGGAGCACGAGGCCGGCGGCGCCGTGATGAGCCCAACATGCCATCTGAGCGCCCGTGCAGAGACCCAGAGGCTGTTTCTGAGCCGCCGCCGGCTCTGCTCCGGGCGCGGGAGGTTGGGGGCCCTGCACGCGGCCCTGCTTTCTCGGCGCCCGCGGTGCTGTGGGGAGCTCGGACCCAGGTCGTACCCACGTAAAGAGAGGGAAGGAGAATCCGCAAAAGCTTGGGGGTCGACCGGGTTCGATTCCCAGCATCCCATATGGATTCCCGAGCACCGCCAGGAGTAATTCCTGAGCGTCGCCGGGTGTGACCCAAAAAGCAAAAAAATAAAATAGAAGTTTGTGGTGGAGGATGTTCGGAAACAGGCTTCAGCGGGAGGAACTGGAGAGGCTGCAGCGCGCGTGGCCGTTACGGCGTCCCATGTGCCTTAAGCTAGTGAGTGGCCGCACCTGGTTTGCGCACTCGCCAAGATACCGTTTCTGATGAAGAATTGAGAAAACACTTTTAACTTGGTGTAGAATGAGTTTGAATTGCTGCCAGGAGAACCCCCAAGTCGCTGGTCCAATGCTGCATGCAAGTTCATTTCAATCCAGTTTCCGGGATTGGACCACACCTACTAGTGCTCGGGGGTCACTCCTGATGGCTTGAGACATTGTGCGGTATCAGGGATTTGGCTCGGGTAGGCCCTGTGCCAGGCAAACATGCCATCCTGGCTGGATTGTCTAGACTACTGGCTCCTCTTTCTCCTGGGAGTTTTCTGTGTAGGCGGTGGGGGGTCACACAAAACTGTCAGGTATAACTCTGCTCAGAAAATACTCCCCATGGGTGCTCCGGAGACTAACAGAATGCTGGGGATCAAACTCAGGTCCACTGTCTGCAGGGCAAGTGCTCTCCGCTGTATGATTGCTAGGTCCCTCACCTAAGTCTTTAATGGCCGCTGCAAGCAAAAAAAAAGTGACTTTTCCAGTGGCTGGTTGCTTATTTAGCCTGTGTTGACTGTTTAGCCACTTTCTGCTTTTCGGGTCTCATCCATTGATGATCAGGAATTCCTCCTGATGGTGCTTAGGGGACCATCTGGGGTGCTGGGGATCAAACCACGGTCGGCCGGGTGAAAGGCAAAGTGCCCTACCCGCTGTACTAGCGTTCCGTTTGGCTTCTTGTGTCCCATCCTTTAGCGGGTTGGCCGCGTGCAGAGCTCTCAACAGGTCTCTCTTCTCTTAGATAAGACCATTATCATGTGGAAGTTGACCCGGGATGAGACTAACTACGGCATCCCCCAGCGGGCCCTACGGGGCCACTCGCACTTTGTGAGCGATGTGGTCATCTCCTCCGACGGCCAGTTCGCCCTTTCAGGCTCCTGGGATGGAACCCTGCGTCTCTGGGATCTCACAACGCAAGTAGCTGCTCTCTCAACTCTGGGACCCTGGGAGTGGATGGTGGGACTTGTTTTGAATTTCTGTAGAATTGCTGAGAAAGTCTGGAGGAACAGCTGTGGCAGCTAATCAGTCAGAGGGGTCCTGATTGTATGCCAGGAGGTCAGTCTTTGCTTAGTGTCAGTGAATGACAGAGGATCCTGGTGATGATCAACGACATGATCAGCCGATCCCCGTGTGGGAATGAGGACATGTCCTGCAATTCTGAAGGGATTCTCAGCAAGGCTGTGGCCTTGATTGGACGCACACAGCCACCTGGGTTCTATATATTCTCCCCCCGGCGCCCTGCCGTGCAAGATGCCTGGGCACAGTGAGGAGTGAGTCCTGTATATCACAGGGTGTGGCCCGGTGGGAGGGGGTGCGGAGGCCAGAGAAACTCTGAAAGAGTGTTTATAAAAATCTGTCTAGAGGGGCTGGAAACATAGCTGGCACACGGCTGACCTGGGTTCAGTACCCATGGGAAAGTAAAATGGGGCCAGAGAGCTAGTACAGAGTTTAGACTCAATCATTGCACATCAGCACCACTGGGAATTTAAGACGAAAAATTCAGGAGCCTACTTGAAGAGAGTGACCGGGTCCTTCCTCTTAGGGGCACCACCACACGCCGATTCGTGGGCCACACCAAGGACGTGCTGAGCGTGGCCTTTTCTTCTGACAACCGGCAAATTGTCTCGGGCTCCCGAGATAAGACCATCAAGCTTTGGAACACTCTGGGGGTTTGCAAGTATACCGTGCAGGTGAGGCTAAGCTTGGGGTAAGTGCCTCTCCCTTTCTCCCCATTGGCTGACATGGTGGTGCTTAAAGGCCTCACCTGGAGCCCAGGGTTCTGATGTTCTCGGAGGTTTCGGTTCTCTTGTCAGGGCCTTTGACATCCCTCCAAGTTGTCTGATGGGAGGTAGGGACCTATCGCTCATGGGTCAAGGGGGCACCCACACTTGCTCTCTATTCTTTAGGACGAAAGCCACTCGGAGTGGGTGTCCTGTGTCCGCTTCTCACCCAACAGCAGCAACCCCATCATCGTCTCCTGTGGCTGGGACAAGCTGGTCAAGGTGAGCTTGGGGCCAGAACAGGTCGTCAGCCCTCCCAGACAGACAGGCTGCAATTTGGACAAACTTTCTCCCTTTTCTCTCATTTACTCAACAAGTTTGAGGCTTTTTTCCCCCACAACTGACAGTGCTCGGGGGTTACTCCTGGCTTAGTGCTCAGTGACTATTCCTGATGGACTTGGGATGGACCTATGGTGTGCCGGGGATCAAACCTGGGTCAGCCATATGCACAGCAATGTCCTGCTCGCTGTTCTCTCTCTCTAGACCCCAGTTTGAGGATTTTTGATGTTTGGTCTAAAGTAGCCAGACTGAGGAGGAAGCACATAGCAATCACTCTTGCTCCGCCCCTTGTTGAGGCATGCACACCCAGAGTCCAGCATGGCAGTTTCTGGGACGAACCTACACAAAGAATGCTCTTTTTAAAAAAAATTCTAGTTGTCCCTTGGTGACCCACAGAATCTTCGGCTTTCTGTACTACAGAATTAAAAAATGGGGGCTATGACCAGAACTGCTCTTGCCCATATTGTTTTGGGGCCACACTCAACTGTGCTCCAGGTTTCTGGCTTTGGGCTCAGGAAACCATCTGAGGTGCTAGTTATCAAGCCCAGGTCAGCTGCATGTCAGGCAAAGCCTTAGCTGCTGTCCTGTGAGAAGAAAATAAACAAGGTCCCTTTCATTCCTGTGTGGAGTCCTGAGCCTGGCAGATCCAAATCCAGTGTCTGTCTTTTAAGATCCCGCCCTTTCCCTCTGTCCAAATCCAGGTGTGGAACTTGGCGAACTGCAAGCTGAAGACCAACCACATCGGCCATACGGGCTACTTGAACACAGTCACCGTCTCTCCCGACGGCTCCCTCTGTGCCTCTGGAGGCAAGGTGAAGTGTGGGAAGCGGCCAGGCCCTGGGCAGTGCTGGGGAGGCTTCCGTCCTTTAAAGAAGGATTCCCCAGAAATAATCCTGATGCTTTGGGGGAGTTCGTCCACTTGTGAAAAGCCTGGGGGTCCGGGTGGATTGGCACGTCGCAGTGGTCCTGCGTCCTGACCTATCATTTTCACTGTTTACAGGATGGCCAGGCAATGCTGTGGGACCTCAATGAGGGCAAGCACCTGTACACACTGGATGGGGGTGACATCATCAACGCCCTGTGCTTCAGCCCCAATCGCTATTGGCTCTGTGCCGCCACTGGCCCCAGCATCAAGATCTGGGTGAGTGTGGCCACCTTGGGCCAAACCTGGCTGGCAGCTGTTGGACCAGGGCTCTTACCTCTCTCCCTTCTCCTGCACAGGGCTCTGCCTGGAGGCTCTAAGAGAGTGATAAAAATTCTCAAAGTAGGGAAGAGGGTGACTGCAGAGCCTTGTCCCTTAGATTGGGTCACGGAAGATAGCAATTTGGTCACAGTAGGATTGACATCTGGGCTTGAAAAGTTATTTGAGGAGGGTGGTTCTGTGTATTCTCAGAGGCTTCCAACTTCTAGCTGCTGCTACCTAAGACTCTAGGACCTGCCTTAGCTAGATGGCTGAGAACCTCTTGCCCCCATGCTCCCCAGGGGGAAGAATGAACTGAAGCATTCCAGGGCAGGGAAATCTTGCCTTGGAATTCAGTACAGCATTGCCTCTCTAGCCCACCCCAACTCCACCCCACACATACCCCTTTTTTGCCCCTAGGACCTGGAGGGCAAGATCATCGTGGATGAGCTGAAGCAGGAAGTGATCAGCACCAGCAGCAAGGCTGAACCGCCTCAGTGCACATCCCTGGCCTGGTCTGCAGATGGCCAGGTAAGGCCTACCTCCTTCCCCCTATCTATCTCGTAGTGACACCAGGGAAGCGTTTTGGGGGGTGGCGCTGTGGCATTCAGCTCACTATTGCATTGTCCCGGTGGCTCTGACCTGCCCTTTTCTTCTCCCCAGACACTGTTCGCTGGCTACACAGACAACCTGGTACGAGTGTGGCAGGTGACGATTGGCACCCGCTAGACCTCAGCGGAGATTTAAAAATAAAGCCTTGATTTTTCTGACTAAGTGATTTTTCTGTCACTTACTGTTGCAATCTTCAGCCACCCTTAAACAGCCCTTAAACAACAGTAGCAGGAGGGAAAGGGCAAGCCTTTCCAGGTGGTCCTGTGGGCACCAAGTAGGGACCCCCAACCCCTGGTGGCATGGGTTCAGCAGGCAACACTGCTGAGGTGCAAGCAGAGGCAGCAGCTTGCATAACTGGCTCATCACAGACACATCCTACAAAAATCCTGGGATTCAGAAATCTGAAGTGACAGGTGCACATATAACGGAATATATTAAAATGGTTCCCAGGGAGGGGCTGGAGCGATAGCACAGCGGTAGGGCGTTTGCCTTGCACGCAGCCAACATGGCCAACACAGGTTCGATTCCCAGCATCCCATATGGTCCCCCGAGCACTGCTAGGAGCAACTCCTGAGTATCACTGGGTGTGACCCAAAAGGCAAAACTAAATAAAATGGTTCCCAGAGGGCCACGGCCAGTAGGGTGTTTGCACAGCATCTGGAAGACTTAAGGCCATAAACATGTAGATGTTCCACAGAGTGCACGTGTTCTTGGGTGTGACTTGTGTCTAGCAGAGTGGGTATTGATGGGGTTGGCAGAGGACTGAAGTCAGGGCTGGAGGGCGTGGCTTTGGTGCTGGTTAGTGGGAGTGGTTTGGGGCTGGGAGCAGTCGGTGGTCCAAAAGGAAAAGGGAAGAGAGCAAGAAGGAAAGTGCCCCCCATACAGGGAGGCTGGGGCTGGGGGATGGTTGTAGGGAAACAGGCCATTGGTGGTGGGAAATGAACACTGGTGGAGGGATGGGTGCTGGACATTGTCTGAAACCCAATTATGAACAGCTTTGTGATGTCTTATCTTACGGACATTCAATTTATTTTTTAATTTAAAAATAATGGGCTGGAGCCATAGCACAGAGGGTAGCGTGTTTGCTTTGCACCAGCTGACCCGAATTCGATTCCCAGTATCCCATGTGGTCCCCTGAGCACTGCCAGGAGTAACCCCTGTGCCTCCTGCCAGGTGTGACCCAAAAAAGAAAAAATTAATGGAATGCAGAAGCTCACACTTAGGGATTCAAGCATGAGCCTCCCCAAGGCAACAATGCATGGAATCTATACAGCCAGTAGCACTGTAGCACTGTCCTCCCGTTCATCGATTTGCTCCTGTGGGCCCAGTAACTTCTCAATGGAGACTTTGTTGTTACTGTGTTTGGCATCTCGAATAGCCTTGGGGAGCTTGCCAGGCTCTCCGAGAGGGGCGGGGGAATCGAACTTGGGTTGACCGTGTCTGCTGCGTGCAAGGCAAATGCCCTACCACTGTGCTATCACTCCAGCCCGTAGCCCCCAAATAAATGGAATCTCCTAGGAAAGAAGCAAATAAATCTTTATTTCCACAACACAACCCATCTTCCCTTTTTCTTCAAACATAAAACTGGGCCTTGCTGCCAAAGCTCGCAGGTGACAGAAAGGCAAGGTGTTTCCTAGAAAAATAGATTATACCCAAGGTTCTCCCTGGGTCCCAAGCTCCAGTCAGGGGAAAGCAGATGGAGGACTAGAGACCTGCAGAGAGGTGGCACGAGGGAAGGAGCCTGAAGGAGGCCTGGGGCAGGCATGAGCTTAGCTCGGAGTACTGGAAAAGAGGAGGGGGAGAAAATAATTTATTGGGTGATGACACAGGGTATTCCAGATCTCTCCCGGAAAACAAGTCCTGGCCGGTCTATGGAGGTAGAAATTTGGGGGATGGAAGGCAAGTTTTTTTAGAGTCCCTCCTTCCCGCAGAGGAGACATTTTCTTAGAACCCAGCTCTACCCTTGGGCCCAGCCTGCTCCCTTGAAAGCCCTTTTTAGTTGGAATTTGCATCTGAAAATGACCTTTCAGAAACCTCAGGTCGGAAGAGATGAATGGGAGCCGGCATGGATTTTGCCCCTGAATCCTCCAGCCTCAGAACTAATGTGGAGATTTTCAAGAGTGGGTGAGAGGACAAGGAACCGCTGGAATCACCAAGTGCCCTCATCCCTTACTTGGACCCCTAGGTGGACAGAAGGGGGAACAGGGAACAGGCAGGCAGCTGTTCTCAGGGACCCATGCAGACGTGTTGGACAGACGGGGGTGGTGAGGGCTGAGCTGGAGGTGGCTTTAGGCTCCTAGAGGGAAGCTAGGCGCCTGGGGTAGAGGGAGCAGGGAGCAAAATGCAACGATAAGCAGGGGGGTAGAGTCCCCTGCCCCCATATTCGGGCCACCCTCCAGCACCACCCGCCCCCCAAGTGAAGTGCTGACCTGAGGGGCCCCCACAAGTGGGTCAAGGGCAGAGCTTAATGCGGGTACCCTTGGCGAGCACCCGGAAGAAGGGGAAGACACGCTCGCCCAGGAAGGCGGCTGAGAAGGTGTGTACGTGCGCCAGTGTCTCAGCATTGTAGAAGCCCAGGCGCCCAGCCTCGTAGTCCAGGTAGACACCGAAGCGCCGCGGCTTCTCGCTGGGGCTCAGCAGCGTCTGCTCAGTGGAGCTCTGCGCCTGGTAGCGTTTGCCGTGGGTGCCCACACACCACACCTCCCGCTGGAGCAGCGGCGGGGGCAGGTGCAGCCGGCGGCGCCGGTGGTGGTGGTGATGGTGGTGGTGCTGATGGTGCTGGTGGTGGCGCGAGGACGAGCCGGCGTCACTGCTGCCCACCGACGAACCCCCAGAGGAGCCCAGCTTCTCCTTGTGGTGGGCCGACTCGCGGGCAGCACCAACTGCCCAGCCGCGGCGCCCGCCCACCTCCACCTCCCAGTAGTGGCGGCCTGAGCGGAAGCCCTGCGCCCCCAGCACGCAGCAGTCAGCCGAGAAGCACTTGGGATGGTCCGGGAGCTCCTGCCGCCTCTCGGCCAGGCGGACACCCCGGCGGTCGGGGGACAGCAGCAGAGCTGGGTGGGCCGTGTCGGGGTCCAGTGTCAGGTCCACTTGGTGTGGGGAAGGTGGGGACACAAAGGTGCCAAGGCTGGAACTGGTTGCCATCAGCAGCCAACTCCAAAGTGGGGGCCCTCCACCCACTTGGCCAACTTGCCCCCACGCAGGACAGACATCCACCTGTCCAGTCCGAACCGTGTGTGTGTAGGGGGGGGAACGACTTTCCCACTGCCCTCCCCCAAGTTAACCAACTTATTCAGCCCCGCCCTGACTCCTCACATCAGCACCCCTGGCTATGCCCCCCACAAACAGTGCCTGCGCCAGACCAGATAGCTCCTGCTTTCCCGAGGGGGGCCCACTGCCCTCAACTTCCCTTCTCTGCTCTGGGACCAGAAAGGGCAGGTGACTGCCTACCTCGGGCCGCCTGACAGAACATCCGGCTCATCTTCCTCACAATGGCGTCTGTCAGGAAGTCATGGCTATGGGGCTGACATGGGTCCGGAGCCCAGGCCTCAGGGGGCTGTCGTTGCACCTCTTCGCACCTGGAGGAAGGGGACCGGGTCGAGGGGTGGGGAACAGGGCAGCCCCGGAGAGAAGAGAGAATTTGAGAGGGGGAATTTGAGGGGGGCTCGCAGCAGAAAAGGGGGTCTTGGGGAAGGAAGGAAAAAGAGCAGGAGAGCCCGGGAAGGCGGAGACGGAGGGAACCAGGTGCCACTGAATCATTGGCGCAGAAAGGGTAGGAACACACCTGTTGAACGTCTCCTTGATGTCCTGCAAATACGGAGAAAGGGGAAAGAGTCAAGCTGTACTCTGATTCCAGTCAAAAAAGATTAAAAAAAAAAACAACTGAATTTGGGGAAGGAGAAACTCCCTTCCGCATAAAACCCTCAATAAACACATCTCAGTCATCTCAGTCATCCCAACCCTTGGCATGCCTACCTTATCCAGCTAAGACCCCTTCATTTGTGTGTTTTTGAGTCCCAAGACTGTCCATGCCTGGCCCCCTCCTTTTAACATCCCCCCATCAGATTTTTTTCTCTCATTCAAAACCCTCCTCAGGGGCAAAGCAATCATGCGCACTCCAACTTTGGCTCTAGTGCAAAAACACCTTTGGGGAGCCTGAGAGCACAGCGGGGAAGTTGCTTGCCTGGCTTGCACGAGGCCAATCTGGCACCCTTTAGGGGCCCCCCCAAGCCCTGGCAGGAGTGATCCCTGAGCACAGAGCCAGAAAGAAACCCCCTACCAAAACACCCCTGCCTCTCAGGGGACATACACAAACAAACACACATACACACAAACACACACACACACACCACCCCTCCCAGACACTAACACCCCTCTCCCCGCCACTGCCTTGGGAGCCAGAGTGACATACAGCAGGCAGAGTGCTTGCCTTGCATATAGTTTGATCCCAGCATACTATAGGGTTCCCCGCCAGCAAGACCAGCACTGCCAGGAGTGATCCCTGAGCAGAGGACAGGTCTCAACCCTGAGCACCAACGGGAGCGGCTCCCAAATAAAACACGTCAGGGTCTTCAAGCTCTGACTGTGGAGTGCTTCTCCACGAGAAGTGGGGCTATCTGGCAAGCAATAGCAGACCAGGCCATGGTGCAGGGGGGCAAGAAGCTATCTTACCTGTAGCAGTCGCAGGCCCCCCTGCTGGCTCCGTTCCTGGGCCTCAGCTAGCAGGCGGCTCAGCTGGGCAGCCTGCTCACTCAGGCGGCTGGCAGCTGCCCCCGCACGCCCCAGCTGAGCTTCGTGCATGTCCCGGAGTCGCCGCTCCAGCCCGGCCTGCTCTTCAGCCAGGAACCGTGTCAGCCGCCCAAACTCCGAGGCCACTGCTGCCAGCTCGGACTTCATCTGGCTCTGGGAAGATGCAAAGGTATGTGGGTAGCACCTCAACACACCAAAGGCACAAACCTCCAACGTGGCAAGTGCTGCCACCTCAGCACAGAAGGAGACAGACAGTCCCCCCAGTTCAGACCTGGGAACAGACAAGGTAACTCAAAAGCCTTATGAGGTGGCCACTCATGGCCCAAATGAGCACACTGGTCCCCCAAACTCACACTTTGGCCTCCAGCACTTCAAACCTTAAACTTCTAAATTGGACAACCCCACCTGTCATTGAATTCCCCTGTAGCTCCCTTTGCAATGTTGTATGCACTCTGTAGTACCATTTTTTTTTGGGGGGGGGGTTGTGGGGACCACACCTTGTGTGCAGAACTTACTCCTAATATGCACTCAGGAATCACTCCTGGCGAGCTTGGGGGAAACCCTAGGAGGAGTCATGGAGAGGACCTGGATTCGCCACATGCAAGGCAAGCGCCCTGCCCACTAGACTATCGCTCTGGCGCCTACTTTGCAATCTGTCTTTTAACTGTTCATTCCGTACCAAACCCCTCTACTGCATAAGAGGCCTCCAACTAACAGCACACGTGCATAAGTCCTTGGGTCTCCAATACTCCACATACCCCAAACACAGAGGTAAGTATTTGGTTGCAATTTTTTGGAAGCAAAGAACAAATTTAAAGTCATGATGTGGGACTTGGAGTGATAGTACAGCGGTTAGGATGTTTGCCTTGCATGTGGCCAATCTGGGTGATTCCCAGCATTCCATATGGTTCCCTGAGCACTGCAACAAGTAATTCAGAATGCAGAGCCAGGAGTAACCCCTGAACATCGCTGGATGTGACCTAAAAAGCCAAAAATAAATAGGATCACGATATGAAGATGGGCCAGAGATACAGGGAGGGAGTTCACCTTGCACACTGCTGACCGACTGAGTGGCCCAAAAACAAAATAAACAAAAATACACAAAGAATGCTAATGATGCGATGCCACCCAAGGCCCTGGGAAGGTGGCTCCATCAGCAATTAGAATCAGAATGATAATACAGAGATTAAAGACCTGTACTATTTACCTTAGATGTGGCTGACCCTGATACCATCCCTAGCACTGAGTATGGTTCCTTGAGGAGCATCAGGAGTGACCCCTCAGCATGGAAACAAGGAAGCAAAACAAATAAAACTGCCACCTAGGTTAGGAGGTAAATGTTTCGCCTTGGAAAGCCAAATATTATGCTATAAGTGAAGGGCCAAGAGGCACAAACAGGTCTTTTGTTAAGTAGGTAGTTGGACTGTAAAACTTCTGACAAGTCAGAGAGATAGTCCAGCGTGGAGAGAGCCCTGGCCTTGCACCACACAACCCCATTCAATCCCCAGGATCCAGTATGGCCCCGAGCTTTGCCAGCAATGATTCCTGAGTGTGAAACCAGGAGTTACGTGAGCCCTGTGCACCACCAGCTTTGGCCCAAAAATCAAAAACAATAAAGCAAAATTTCCCACAGGGACTAGTGCAACTGTGCAAAGGGCAAGGCACAGTTGCACTAGTCTGTCCTACACACAGCTGACCCAGGTTGCATCTTCAGCATCCCATAGGGTCCTCCGAGCCCACCAGGAGTGATTCCTGAGCACAGAACCAGGAGTCAGTCCTTAGCACTGTCAGGTGTGGCCCAAACACCAAAAAAGAATAGAAACTTCCTAGGAGACCTTCTGTGCCCTGGAAGGTGTCACTTCTCTGTGCCAGCTGACAGTCCTCCTGAGCCTGCCCTGACCACAGTGCCGGCCTGTCCCATGAGGCCCGTCACCCACCTTCAGCTCTGTCACCCGTCGCTCCTCCTTGGCCTTCAGCTTCTGCACTGCCTCCAGGTGCTTCCTCAGTGGCTCCACGTGTCCCTGCAGTTTGGCCTAAGGAAAGGGAAAAGGGAAAAGGGCTGGACCAGTCCACCTCCCTGACAGGGGGCAGTGGGGTACAAAGTCCACTTCCGGTCTCAAACACCAAAATGAACAGTGGGGTACAAAGTCCACTTCGGGTCTCAGCCCCAGTAACTCTCCTCCTGTGTTCAGGATCTGGAGGTTCAAAGGCCTCCAACAAACCTTGGCCTTCACCCAGACACCCGGAGGGGCCGGGGCCATAGCATAGCATGCCGTACATGTGCCTTGGCTGACCCAGTTTGACTCCTGCACTTCAAAGGGTACTCCCAAGCACCTCCAGAAGTGATCCCTGAGCACAGGGCCAGGAGTAACCCGAGTACTGCTGGGTATAGCTCCAAAACCAAAATATATCCCCCTAACAACAGAATGTTCCAGCTTGGGGCCTGGCAAACAAGAACAGCAGGTATAGCACTTGCCTTTCAGCAGTTGACGTGGATTTGATCCCAGACACCCGAGGGACCCCTGAGCAGCCAGGAGTGATGCCTGAGCAGCAAGCAAGTCCTGAGCAGCACTGGGTGTGGCCCCAAAATCAAAATGAAAATAAATTAATTAAAACGCCTGCCTGTGTTTCATCCTCCATCAAAACTAACCAATTCTTCAGTGGGGGGCCAAGAGCCAGTGGAGAGGTTGAAGCACTGCTCTGAATGCAGGTGAATTGGATTGAGTCCTGGCACCACACATGTTCCCAAAACAAGCCCTGAGCAGAGTCAGGTGAGGACCCACAACCGAAGGCGGTGAAAAATCCTTCATTGGCTGCCCATTAACTTGGAAATTGGAAATTAAGGGGCTCTCCCTGAGTACTGCCAGGCTCTCTCTGCTTGTTTTCCTTCTAGTCTCCTCTCCTACATCTTCCCCTTCTACAGATTTTATTACTTAGCTTTTGTTTGTTGTTGTGAGTGCTCAGGGCTAACTCCTGGCTCTGCACCCAGGGATCACTCCTGGCAGTATTTGGGGGACTGTATGGGGGTGCTGGGGATCAAACCTGGATCTGTTTGGTCTGACTTACAGTACTATCTCTCTAGTACCTAGATTCTTATTTTAGGTACGAAATACGACTTGTTTTACTCGAAGCATAATGCCACACCTTTATCCAGAAGGTTCCCTATGCTGGGATCTGAGTTGATAGTGGAACCAGTAGGGTACTTGCCTGGCATGCCACCAATCCAGGTTTGATCACTGGGACCACACCTGGTCCCACCAGGAGTGATCCCTGAGTGCAGAGCCAAGAGTCTGCCCTGAGTACTTCCAGGTATGGCCCAAAAGTCAGAAAAAAAAAAAAAAGAGCGTGAGGACTGGAACGATAGCACAGTGGGCAGGGCATTTGTCTTACACATGGCCGATCCGGGTTCAATTCCCAGTATCCCATAAGGTCCCCCCTGCATTGCAAGGAGTAATTCCTGAGTGCATGAGCCAGGAGTAACCCTTGTGCATCGCCTGGTATGACCCAAAAAGCAAAAATTAAAAAAAAAAACAACCAAAAAAAAGGGAGAGTGAGCGTGCAGGAGACAGAGAGACACAAAGAGAGACAAGAGAACAAAACTGACTCAGTTTCTCTTTTACTTAATGTGGGGGACTTTGGGGTCACCCCTGAGGGTGCTCAGAGGCTGCTCACAGCAATATACTTGGGGGTTGCTCCCATCAGCACTCGGAGATCCAACTAGAGCCAGCTACAGGTCTGGCAAACAGACACCTTCACCCCTAGAAGGTCTTTACAGCCCACAAGTTTGTTTGAAATGAAAAAGCCCAAGACAAAAGCTGAGAATAATGCCTAGGGCACGTTTTAAGTGGTCAGTAAATATTCATTATGCATTGTGGAGAAAATTAAATTTGAAGACTTCCACAGACGTGCCCAGGTAAGTATAGAACCAGGGAGTTTGATTTGAAAGTCTCTCTTCTAGGTGGGAGCAATGCTACAGAAGGTAGGGCACTTGCCTTGCAGGCGGCAGACCCTGAATTCGATCTCAAGCATCCCATATGGTCCCCTGAGTACCACCAGGAGTAATCCTGAGTGTAGAGTCAGAGTAACCCCTGAGCAGTGCCAGGTGTGCCCCCCCCCCAAGAAAAACTTTTTTTTTTTGTTTTTGCAAAACAAAACAAAAGCCTTTCCTTCTAGTGAAAGCCAAGTGAAGAGTAGGGCACTTGGCTTGCACTAAGTCGACCAGCCCTACCAAAAGGGTTCCCCGAGTGCAGACCTAGGAATAAGTCCTGAGCAGAGCTGGGTGTGGCCCAAAACAAAAACAAAAACTCCCATATAAGGCCCGAGGGATAGGACAGCAAGTAGAGGATAGAGCACTGGCTGTCAACCTGGGTTCGATCCCCAGAACCACGGAGCCCCTTCAGGAGTGATCTCTGAGTGCAGAACTAGGACGACGCTCTGAGCACTGCCAGGTGTGGCCCTGAAAGTATCCCCCACTACTCCGTTTCCCTTTTACTCTGAACTCCTGGGAAAACTCAAAAGTCCTGATCAATGCATCAAACCAAAGCCGACAGATTCACCAAAAAAAGTTCGCAGGAGAGAACCCAGGCATCCCAGAGCACCTCCAAGAGAATTTCCTGCGTGCAAAGCTACGAGTGACCCCGAACAGCGCAGGATAGAACTCAAAAAGCAAAAAACAAACAAACAAAAAACGCAGGCAGCTGCAAGCTCTTTGTCCTCTGAGCCCCCAAGTTCTCCTATCACTGGGGCTCTCTGGCAAGCACACACTTAAGACTCACCCCCAGGCCCGGAGCGATGGCAGGACGCGGGCCTGGCCCGGCAGGAACCACCACCCAGGGGTATGCGTGCAGGGCCTGGGGTCAACCCTCGGCACCCTTAGCCGGGCGCGGCTCCCTCCAGAGCCGTCCGGCGCCAGAGCAGAAGCAGTCCCCAGCCCTAACCCTGGAGCCCCGCTCACCTTGTACTCCTGCACCACCTCCTCCAGCGGCACGACGCTGTGCTGCTTGTGCGCCCGGGACTCCCGGCACACCACGCAGATGGCCTCCTCGTCCACCTCGCAGAAGAGCTTCAGGGCCTCCTGGTGCTTGGGGCAGACGCCCTGCTCGGTGGCGCGGCTCGGCCGGCCGCCGGGGCTCGGGTGCATCTGGCGGATGACCTGCACCATGTTGGCCAGCTGCAGGTTGGGGCGGAAGCTGCGGCGCGGGAAGCTCTTGCGGCACTGCGGGCAGGTGAAGCAGCGGCGCGGCGCGGCGGCGGGCGGCGGCGGCGGCGGCAGCGGCGTGGCCGGCGCCAGCTCCTCGTCCTCGTCCTCGTCCAGCACCTCCTCCTCCTCCTCCTCGTCAGGCAGCTCCTCGTCCATGCCGCCCAGGTAGTAGTCCAGGTCCTCCTCGTCGTCCTCCTCCTCCTCCTCCCACACGTAGTCCATGTGGTCCCAGCCCGCACCGCCGAGCCCGCCGGTCCAGAACACGCCCTCCTCCTCCTCCTCCTCCGCCTCCTCGTCCATGTCGCCCTCGTAGTCCTCGTCGCGCATCGGCGTGTCCCAGCCGCCGCCGCCCGCGCCCACCGCCTCCACCTCCTCTTCCTCCTCCTCCTCGGCCTCCTCCTCTTCCTCCTCCTCGCGCTCCAGCTCGTCGCGCTCCTCCTCCTCGTCCTCCTCCTCCTCCTCGCCTCCCCACAGCTGGGTCACGCACACGCGGCAGAAGTTGTGGCCGCAGCCGATGGACACGGGGTCCGTGAAGTAGTCCAGGCAGATGGCGCACACCGCCTCCTCCTGCAGGGTCTGCACCGGGTTGGGTGCCATGGCAACGGCGGCCATCTTACCCGGGGCCGCTCGGCCGGGCCGGCGGGGCGGCGGGGCGGGGGAGGGCGGCCCGCGGCGGCGGCCCGGCGACCCCGGCCCACCCGCGGCCCGGCCTCGCCACACCTCGGCCGCGCGCCGCAGCCCCGGCGACGGCCGCCGCCCGCGCCGCAGCGCTCGCGCCCCGCCCCGCGCCGAGGCCGAGCCGCGCGGCGCTGCCACGGGGCCGGGGCGCGGAGCGCGACCCCGCGAAGCCACGAAGCCGGCGAGGGCCTGGGTGCGAATCCGCCCCTCAGCGCGCCCCGGGCCGCCTCATGAAGCCCCCCGCCCTTCCGCACTTCCCGGCTCCGCCCGCCGACTTCCGGCCGGCGCCGCGGCGCTTCCGGCGCGCCGAGATCCCGCGGCCGTCGCGCTCGGCGCCCCGCCCCGGGACGCCGGAAGCGGCCCGGAGACGCTCTAGCCGCGCCGCGGGGCACCGAGTGGGAGGTCCCTGGGCGACCACGTGTCTGGGGCGTGACTTAGCGGCCACGCGGGCGTCCCGGAGCCCCTCCTCGTCGGGAGGCTCCGGGAGGCCGTGGCAGGACCCCTCCCCGTCGGGAGGCTCCGGGAGACCGTGGCAGCAGCCTCGGGAGGGCCCGCCTGCGCTCCACGCTCAGACGGGAGCGGCCCGGCGCGTCCTACCGAAGGACGCCGCTTCACCGAAGCGGAGGGTGCGGGCAGCGCGGGACGCTCCCGGCCGGGACTGGGACTTGGTTGTTCAGGACGCCCTGCCCGGCAACGGCGGAGGGGGAGGGAGGGTCGGAGTCTGGGGGGAGGCGCTAGGGGCCGGGGGCTTCCCCGCCTGTAGCAGTCTCGCGGACACCCACTTTATGCAGCTTCCCCCTCGGGTGACAAGCCAGTTACATGCACACGAGCACTTTCCACCTCGGTGACGCGAGCCGGCCAGGCGCCACTTCTCGCACCCTCGGGAGAAAGTGCAGTGTACGTCACAGCGTCCTGACCCTGCGTGGACCCCGAGAGCACGAGCTCTGTGTTCTGGCTCAGAGCTTTGTGCGGCAAAGGATCAGCGCCTGCAGAGCCATTGCCACGCTGCTTTGCAGCTCACCTGAGTTAAAATCAGCAGCAGAATTCTCGGACTCTGGGTCAAGACAGTGGTAGAATTTGCCTGGCACGCGGCGGACCCAGTTCAATCTCCAACACCCCATACGGTCCCCCAGCACCGCCAGGAGTAATTCCTGAGCGCAGAGCCGGGAGCAACCTCTGTGCATCGGGTGTGACGCGGAAAAATAAAAAGTTCCGTGGGTTAAGAACTTTTTCTTCTGTACCTGTCATTCTGTATTTTTAAAAATAAACTTTAAAAGGACTATTAAAGGATCTTTAAAAAGAAAACCCTCCCCTCTCCGGGAGTGCCAGGACTCAGTCCCCCACCCACGTCCGGTCCAGCGGCGCGCGCTGGAATCGCTTTACCCTCCTGGGGTCGCCGTAGAGTGCCGGGCTCGAGCCGCCCAGCCTGCCCGGGACGCCGAACTGCACCCACGAAGCTGTTGCTGTGCTGCCCAGAGCATTCATGCCAGGTCATTGGCAGGGTGAAAAAATAAAAGGTTTTATTCTGAATGTTTTTAAAAATAAAGTAACTGTTGCGGGGAACTAGCCCGGATAGTGCCCGAATTCACGCGGACTCCGGAGGACCCTCTGGCTGCACTTGCAGCATTTCCCCGGCTATCCGGCGCGGTCCACTCGGTGGCACTCGGGGTGGTGGTGGGGCGGGGGGCTTTGGGGTTGGCCCAGACCCCCCTCAGGTCCCGGTTGCGGCGCCCGGACGGTGGTGGGCAGTGTTGGTCGGGGGCAGCGCGGTTTGCCCCCAGACCCAGCCAGGAACGACGCTAACGCAAACGCTTCTCTCCCGTGGCGACGGTCCGGGCCGGGAAACGACGCTGAAGCGGCCTTCGCTCCCGTGGCGGCGTTCTGGGCCGGCTCCGCAGTAGCCTTACCGCGGCGGTTTCCGTAGTGTAGTGGTTATCACGTTCGCCTCACACGCGAAAGGTCCCCGGTTCGAAACCGGGCGGAAACAGTTGCATGTTTTCTTTTGGGGCCATACCGGGTTGACGTTCAAAACTCCCCACGGCGGGTGCAGGGGAACCGCCTGGACGACGACGTCAGACTGCACTACAGCTGCAGTGCTTTCCTTAGTGTCTTTCTTGTTTCTTTTCCGTGAGAGGACGGTGCCTAGTGTTCGTGCCTCCTTTCCGGTGTCCTGGGGATTTGTCGCGCGTACAAGGAGGACTTGTGGATGCTTGTCTTTCTGGGCCTGTTTGCGGGGACACAGGCACAAGCACCCCCAATGCTGGCGCTGCAAAGGTGGGAACTCTTCCCCCTCCCTCGGCTCAGAGGTCGCTGAACAGGGCCTCGGGCCCCCTCCTGTCCTCCGATGGGACTGGACACAGCCCGGTCCATAGTCCCTGTTGCTGATGACCATGCCCCTGACCCGCGGGGACTAGCCCCAGGGCGCCCGTGCGCTCCTGTAGATCTGCTCCGTAGGGACTGCGACCTGTGATATGCATGTGCCCGGCTAGCTCAGTCGGTAGAGCATGAGACTCTTAATCTCAGGGTCGTGGGTTCGAGCCCCACGTTGGGCGCAGGTTGTATTTTGGACATGAACACGAAGGAAGCAAATTTTGGAGCGTAGAAATCCTAGCCAGCTACCACCCTCAAACCCAGAGGCATAAGCTCCCCTGACGATGTAGGTGGTGGCACTGGGCAGAGTTCTGAGCCAGCGTTTCCTCTGTTTTCTGCCTCTCTACCGCCAAGGCACCCCTGCCTGGAGCTAGGCCCTCTGCAGCACCTGCTCCGGGAAGGCCCCGTTTGACCTGCATTGTGGGGAAACTCCAGGGCCCCCCAGTCTAGTTTGTGACTTCCCCTATCCCCAGCCCCCAACCTCTCACCGCTCACCCCCTTTTTGTTGATAAAGAGTTCTGTTGATAAACTGAAACCCACATCTTTAGTGGAATTTTTTTTTCGTGCTGTTTAGCAAAAGGCTGACTCACACCTCCCAGCCTCCACCAACCCGCCAGGGCCAAGGACCCTGAAAACGTCCTTGGTGGGGGTAAAGCCCCCCCCTCCAAATGCACAGTCATCCTTGGCGTCTCTGTCTTGCCCGAGTCCTGCCTTCACCCCTTCCCGTGGGCTGTGTACCCCTTTTCTGTTTGCAGGCTGTCCACCCGACAGAAGAGAAGTCTGTTTAGCAGAGCTGGGAGAGGATGCCTGCAGCCTCAGCCTGTGGAACGGGGAGCAGGGAGGATTGACGAGACACCCCAGCTCCATCTGGGCAAGAGGTGGCCGGCTCAGAAAAGGTGCTTAGTCGCAGTTCAGGGACACAGGAGCTACTGTCCTACTGTAACCGCCTTATCTGCCCACAGACCCACCCAAACAAGCGGGTGGTCCTTTGCCATTTTGCGTGCACAAATGCTTGTCAAATCTCTGTAACTTGTTTTCTTTCCTTCTCTTTTTCGTTATCATTCTCTCTCGCTTTCCTTCTTTCTTTTCCTTTCTTTCCTTTTTCTCTCGTTTTTCCTTTTATTTTTTTTCTCCCTTACTTTCTTTTTCTTTCCTTTTCTTATTTTTCTCTTTTCTTTCTCTTCCTTTCTTTTTTCTATTTCCTTTTCTTTTTCTTTCTTACTTCCTTTTCCTCTTCCTGTCTTTTCTTATTTTCTTTCCTTCCTTCATTAATTTTTCTCTTTACTTCCTTTTTTCTTTTACTTTTTTATCTTACATTTTCTTTCCCTTTTATTTTTCTTTTTTCTTTCCTTCTTTTCTTATTTTCTCGTTCCTTTTTGCTTTTTCTTTCTTTTCCTTTTTTCTCTTTTTTCTTTCCTTTTCTTTTTCTCGCTTTTCTTTCCTTTTCTCATTTTCTCTCCTCCCTTTGTTTTTCTTTTTTCCTTCTTCCTTCCATTTCTCTATTTTAATTTTTTCTTTTTTCTTTTTTTTTTTGCGCAACCTGAAATCATTCTTAAAATATTGTCTCTGTCTATGACGTATGCCTATGTGGCCAAGGTTTTTTTTCCCTTCCAGCAAGCCATCCAAGAACAAGCCATTGGAGTTTTGCAGATAGGATGGAGTTGTCAGAGGGCTGGACTCACTCCCATGGACCTCGATTATGATTCCGGAGCAGAAGTGAGCCCCAGGAAGTTTAGCCCAGAATGGGGTAGAAAGAACAGGATAGGACTGGCACAGTGGAAAATAGCAGAGCACAAGAAATTTGTAGATTTGTAGCTTGGAAGCAGTGCGATTTGCAGGCAATTTCAGTTTAAGATCATTTAATACCGGATATCAGAGACTTCAGAGACTGGGGCCAGGATGCAAGGTGGAGGGAAGGAAAGAGGAATGAGTTTGGGAATGAGATCTAGTTACAAGGCCTCTTCTATTCAAATTATTTATTTTTTCGATTTTCAATACATTTGGCGGGGGGGTTCACATCCAGCAGTGCTCAGGGGTTAATTCTGGTGGGTTCAGGAGACGATATGGGATGTGAGGATGCAACTCAGGTTGCTTGTGTGGAAGGAAAGCGACCTACCTGCTGTACTATCACTCCAGCCCCATGTTACAAACTTTTTAACTTTCTTTTCTAAAATTTATTTTAATCACTATGATGTGGTGACCAAATTTTCCCACCCTGTCCATGTGGTAGGATTTTGTGGCTAAACTATTCCACCACCATATCCCTACCACACCACCTCCACCACATTGTCTCAGGGTCGAGGGACCCTCACCTGATACCACGAAACAAAATATTTCTTTTTGGCAGAATTCTAGAAAAAGCATGTGTATGGTGGTGGTGGTGGGGGGTGGGTGGGGTGCAGGAGCTGTGTCGTGTTGGTGGAGAGACTCTGCCAGGCCACAGGACCCAAATTACTCTAGTTCCAGATCAGCAGGATCTTCGAGGGATCCAGTGCATCTGAATTTTACTACCATGCCATACCATGCAGTAGATACTACATTTGGGGCGAGAGCAATAGTACAGTGGGGAGGGTATCTGCCTTACACACAGTCACTTTGGACTCAATTCCGAGCACCTATATGGTCACCTGAGCACTGCCAGGACTTCT